ATGTGAGATTCTTTTTGTAAAAGTTACATTGTATAGTCCAGCTTCTCCATTTCTACCAATTAGGAGTGCACGTTGGCTACTTCTACAGACTTGTTCTCAGAATAAATCTTCTAGTTTGGATACTGACTACTTTAGAGAGTCCACCAGAAAGAAAACTTGACTCTAAAGAAAACTGTCCATATTCTCTTGACGCCTGCTCCTTGGTATTTCATGTCTAGATGCTTAGACTTTGTTGACAACAAGCTGCTCCTATTTATAGAACCAAGTTTTAGTATCTACTTCGTCGCTTTTCTGTACGTTTTGCTGTAGTTCGATTTTTGTTGTTGTTGACCAGAGGATTGTTGGAAAGAGTTTTTTTTTGTTATATCATTTTATATTAAAAATTATATTTTATATATATATTTATATATAAATTTTTCTAAATCACTAGTTGTGCCTTAATGTGGTAATTGTATAAAGGTTTGACTATAAATAAATATCATATGACCTTTAGCTAATAAATAATTCATTAGTCATAATTGTTCTATATCTAAAGGTTTTTTATACTAAATTAACTATCTTAGAGTCTCTAAATAAAGTTGTAGAGCTTATGAAGACAAATTTAATGGTGGTTAAATTGTTACAATTGGCCTAGTGGATGTTAAAAAATCTGAAAAACATTTTGCTAACTATAATATCTATATAATTTAAGCAAGAAACTGTGTATTTTAATGTTTTGATTGGTTATTACAAGCTATGATTGATAAATTGGACTATTGTATATCATACTATACAATTATGAATAGTCTATTTTATCTATTCTATTTATTCTATTTTATACAGAGTTCGTCCATTTTAATATTTTTGATTGGTCATATCCTTGACCTAAGTAAGAGAAAAACTACAAAGAAATCAGACAAATAGCTGTAACATCTTTGATTAGCCATATAAAAAACTATGTGGTCTGAGTATGAGAAGACTAAAATGCAAAATTGTGATCTTTGATTAATATCATAACAAGTTCATCATTATATTATTTGTAATCAATCTCCTAGTATTGATTAATAATTAATATATGAAAATTGAGACATAAAGAATCAAAGATACAGAGTTATTCTTATTCACAGCTTTCTGAAAGATAATATCATAACTCAGTTGTTATCTATTTATAATTTTTAAAAACTGACATTCATGTGTTCTGTATGCTTTGTATCTTTATATTGATTAATATTGATATCTTTATTTGTAATTCAGAAATTGTATACTTTAACAATTTTGATTGAGTATAGTCAAAAATGTGATGTGAATGTAAGAAAATTTTTGTATGTTAAGATGAATAAATAATGATGATTATTATTCTTTTCATTATGTTATATATTTGTAATAACTAATTAAGATAAGTTATGATATCATTATGGGTGATTTAACTAATTAGTTACTTTTCATTTATTATTATCATTATGAATATAATAATTATTTATTAATCAAAGTATATTCTTAATATTTACATTAGTTCTTTTACAACTAAGGTGTTTAACTGGTGAGTATAACTATCATTTATTAATAATACTCATTTTCTTTTGTTTATATAACTCATTAGTTCTTATTTTTTATTTAATTCAAACTAGTAATCATAACAATTATTTACTTAAATGGTAAATACAATAATTGTTTTAGCAATAATCAATTGTGATTGTAACAAAAATAAGAGCTTCTAATATCAAAAATTCTTTGAAATTGAGTTCTGATTGATCATTTTAGAGGATTAGTTAAGACTTATATCAAAAAGTTGTTTAACACCTTTACATATAATAGAAGCTTCATAATCGATACTTCTATTAGATGTACAATAAGTGTATCAAGTGATCTTTTTGAGATGAGTCCTAACCAATCTATAAAATAATTAATTAGAACTCATTCCCAAAGAAATTTTTATATAATAAAAGCACTTATCTTCATCACAATAACAATTAATTTTAGAGTGATGAGCATTATTTTAGAAGTTACTTATCGTTCTCTTCAATTAAGTTAGATTAATAACTTTTGTAATTTTTTAAGTTCTGTGATATAAAATTGTAATCACTTCAACTTTCTTATATTTCATAAAACTTATTTAATTCATATTTTTATTGATAAATAAATTTACAAAATACAACAAACATAAAATGACTACATACAAATTCACAGGACTTAAAAAAATTATTAAGATCATTGATCAAACTAAATTCAAAAAACATTACTCATTATTTGTTCCAATTTATCACCTTATATTTACTGCTTATTCAAATTGATATAACTGGTAGTAAATGAGAGTTTCATAATTAACAATCTGAAATCTGATGTAGATAAAATAAATAACGTATTTATTTTCAAATAAACAATGTATTCATTTTCTAATTTCAAAATTTTGAAACACATTTTCTTAGCACTCCTGTTTATTTCCAAAGTACACCATATTTTTTTAATTCTGAAACCTCTTAATAATTAAAGTATTTAAAATAATTTATTAATCTTCATACTTGCTATATAGGGCTTAAATTTCATATAATATAAATTAATCTGTACCTTGATATATTATATAGCAGAAGTAATTATATATATTGAATAAGATGGGTGGTGTGTAAGTGCCACCCATCACACTAGTATTGTTTTATAAAAATTTTATATAGTTAGCAAAAGGTTTTTCAAAAATATCTCAGCATTCACTAGGCCAATTTTGATAATTTAACCACCATTAGATTTGTCTTAATGAGCTCTACAACTTTACTTAGAGACTCAAAGGTGCTTAACTTAGTACAAAAAAAAACTTTTAATTAATAAATTAGTGATTATAAAGAGGTTTTTTTATTAATAAATTTGATATAAAAATTAAATTTTGTGATAGTGATTATAAATAATTTGTGACAATAACGAGGTTTTTGCATTATGTTTTAAGTCTATCACACAAAATAGAATGTTTAAATAGAGGTGTAACTATATGGAGTGTGATTATAGAAAGATCTGACTGTAATTAATTTTGTAATATTACACCTATCCATATTTATTATTATAAAAATCTAATTTATCAACTGCACCTTTTAGATATTTCTTGTCAAGATTTATTGGCTAACAAGAATAGTCTTCTATATAAACTAAATGTATCAAAAATATTAGACATATATTTAATTGAAAATTTAATATGTTAATTTTTATTTAATATGAGGGCCGTCAAAGGAAAACCTGTCATCAGGCTTTCAATGTTCAGTTTGTTTACTGAGTTCGTCTAGGGAAAATCTATCATTGGATTTCTAATTATATTTTGTGAATTAAAAGTCCGATAATAAATTTTTTATTGACAGCATTCAGTAAACAAACTGAACATTGAAAGCTCGATAACAGATTGACACTCATATAAAGTTTTTAGCAATTTTGGATTTCACCAAGTTTCGGAGGTTTCACCAGCTTCTGAGGTTTTGCAAGCTACGGTTTTGCCCCAGTTTCAGAGGTTTCGACATTTCGGAGAGTTCACCCATTTTGGAGATTTTGACTATTTCAAAGGTTTCAGGTTTTGGGCGAAACCAAAACTCAAAGGCGAAACGTTTCAGCTCATGAAAAATGGTTTTGGCAGAAACACTGGCTTGGGACGTTCCAAGTAGTTTGAGTTATATCTATAATCTAGACAGACTGTATATTAAACGTGTAAAAAGCCGCTGCAATTCCAAGTACTTGTCCTTGGACTCAGCGTAAGTTACCAAAGCCTAGGTGTCTATTGATATTAAAAAATTTAGTTTTTATACTTTTTGTCCTTAAGAAATTCGAGTAAGTCAATATTTTATTTTGATTAATTAATGCTGTAATGAGTATTTATATTTATAAATGACTAGCCCAAAATATGATTTATTTAAATATTAATATAAAGTTATTATAATAATTCATAAAAAACAAAAAAAGAAAGAAAGAAATGTAAGAGAAATAAATAATATAGTTCGATTCGGTAAACAAATTCAGTTTTGACTTGAATTCAAAGGAAGATGTTTATTAACATCCTTCAAAATGAATTCGTGACTATAATAATGTGCTTCAAAAGCAAACATTTCATTGATTCTTTCCTTTACTTTTTGAGTGGATAAAGCATAGTCAAGAGAGGACGTTCTATCAGTTCGGATGTTTGTTAAAAAAATCCGTTTCAAGAGTATGCTACCAATTAAACTGCTCAAAATAGCTTTGAACTTATTTACATAAGAGTTTGAAGTATTTGAGCTTGCTAGAAAGAATCCAAGTGAAATGAAAATACCTATAGATACTAAAAATAATATCCTAAAACAAAATTGCTGTTCGGAGACAAATTTGGTATTTTGTGCATTCAACTGCGTGTTTTTTTCATCATCTTCTTCCATTACCGTTTCCTCGCTCTCTAATTCTTGATGATCATTGTCCATATGGTGTTGCGATAATTGAAAAAAGTATAATAAGCCCATCAACGAAATTATAAATAAGATCGTAAAGATCGAAATAATTACTATGTATGGTGTAGTTATATACAGTTCTTTAGACATTACATAATATATGAATGCCAGAAGAAGACTTGGTAGCATGATATAATTAAAAAAAAAGTTGACATTTAACATGTTTTGGTAAGAAGGACAATTTAAATTTCGGTTGCGTATGATATTAAAAATGGACAAAAGTGTTGAGATAACGCATATTATAAGGATTGTGATTAGGAACTTATTATATTCTTCGACTTTTCTGCAACAGGAAATTCTATTGTCACAAACCAAATTTTGATGAATCGCAAAAGAAATTACAATCGTTGCATAAGCGCATATATAAAATCTAATGAATAATTTAAATAGATGCTTATAATTGAAGGTTTGGAGGGGTTTGGTCGATTTTGTACTAAAAAGAAAAGAGCGCCTCCAAATACTGAAATAATTGAGAAAAACTTATCATCATTGGAATCAAACGGCCCATTGCTAGAAGTAGCATAAATACAGTAATCATGAACTGAATTCTTTTTATCAAGCAGCTCATGAAAATAAGTATCAATAAAAGAAAAGTTAAATATATAAGGTCCATTCATTTTGAAGAAAAGTTGTCTGGTGTTTTCAAAAATAATATCGACTAGTTCAACTAGTCTTAAGACGTCAATTAAAATAATATCGACTAGATCAGCTAATCTTAAAGATGTCAATCAAAATAATTTAAGTTTTCAATCAAAATTATCTTATTTACGTTGTTTATGGACTAGTTTCTTTATCTTTTTACTTTTTTTGTCGATTTTTTTATCGATTTTTTTATAACGTATTGCTGTATTTTTCGATATGGAACAATACACATTCAAAACCCTGAAACACACGCTTAAATAAATCTATCTATATCATCTAATTCTGAGTTCGTCCGTTTTAACGTTTTTGATTGGTCGTATCTAAAAAATGTGACCTAAATGTGGGAAAAACTACAAAGAAATTAGAATAGCTTTAACATCTTTGATTAGTCGTATGCAAAAACCATGTGATCTGAGTGTGAAAATGCAAAAACCGTGATCTTTGATTAATTATAATGTCGTAACAAGTTCGTCGTCGTATTATTCGTAATTGACCTACCGGTATTGATTAATAATCAATATGTGAAAATTGAGACATAACGAATCAAGGATACAGTTATCCTTATTCACAGCTTCCTTCATAACTCGGTTGTTATCTATTTATGATTTTTAAAAATCGACTTTCGTGTGATATGTATGCTTTGTATCTCTATACCGATATTGATATCTTTAATTAATCTATCTATCTTCTATACTATCTAATTCAGAATTTTACATTTTAGCAGTTCTGATTAGTTACTAACAAATAACATTAACGACATGGCAAAATCTGCTATTGAACCTGAAGTGCAGATCACATTACATATTTTGATCGTCATTTGCATTGTTGTCTCTTGGATACTAAATAATACTAATACGTCCGTGAACAAATTTTTATCTATATAATTTAATAATGAAGTTTCGCACTTTAACATTTTTGGTTAGTTATGGCAATAAACTACTGCTTATAATTAAAATTACCTTTGCCTCATTATTACTAGATTACGATATTTAAATCATTGTGAATACTGTAATATATGGGCACTACCAACGATCTGGAGTTATCTATATAACTCAATTCTGGGTCTGTGGGTTTTAACGTTTTTGATTGGTCGCATCCAAAAATTTGACCTGAGTGTGGGAAAACTTACATAAAAATCGACGTAAGATAACAGTTATCATGGTTCGAGTAATTATACGACATTCCCGTGATCATCTGCAATTAATGCGATATTTCAATCTATTGCATCATCGATACGTAAAAATCGTGTTATGCCATTTACTTTTTGGGTATTATTTTAACCAAAATTGTTGGTACGGGAAAATTCAAGTTATTGTGATCTACTAACGCTAAATTGTAAAATTGTAACGAAACTTTAAATAATAATAAAATATGTATTTAAAAAATTCCCGTAGCGGAGCCACGGGTCGAACGCTAGCTTATATATATATATATATTCAATTCTGGGTGTGTACGCTTTGACGCTTTTGATTGGTTGTTAAAATCTAAATCCACCCAAAAATGTTATAGCTATTAGTAATGGCACTTGCTAATTGAGTAAACAATGTACCTAAATTCCCAAAACAAAATTGTTTGAAAAAAAAAATACGTATTAGTTATGTAGGGTTGTATATTGGTCGTAATTATTTGTCATGGCACTTGCTAATTGAGTAAACAATGTACCTAAATTTCCAAAACAAAATTGTTTGAAAAAAAAAATTTACGTATCGATTATGTAAGGTTGTATATTAGTCGTAATTATTCATGGGACTTGCGATTAAGTAAACAATGTACCTAAATTCCCAAACCAAATAATTGTTTGAAAAAAAAATTACGTAATACAGTAGAACCTCCCAAAATCGATCCTGCCAAAATTGATAACCTGTCAAATCTGATAAAAAATTAATCTACTAAGTCTGTTTCTGTTACATAATTCTAATAGTTTATAATTTTTCAAATCCGATAACCTCTTAATACTAATACAAAACCTGCTCACCATATGTATCGGTTTAGGAAGGTACGACTGTATATTGGTATGTATATTGGGTCGTAACTAAAATTAATAAAAATCCAAACCTCAAATCTTTCCAAAAATGTGATAGTATGAGAAATCAGTGCTATGATCGGTTATAGTATGTTAAATACACGACCATAATCAGGTTACGGGCTATGGTATTTAATTACAACAAACAAGCTGGATAAATTGGGTCGTATGCGTACTATGCAATCATTAATAAAAATTCTGTGACAGGTTTGCAACGCAGCAGAATTTTTAAAAAACAATTAATGTTAGGGTTAGAGTCAGTGTTAGAAATTAAAGGGAAATAGTTTATTAATAAAATTGCTCAACGAATGCTTTTTGTTAGAGCACTAAAGGTCGTTTCTTATTCGAATTTTCGTGAAATAAACGTCTTTTGGCAAAATGAACGGTTGTTTTTGAATTTTCTGATCATGTAACGTTATACATGAACTTCAAAATCTGATTTGTAGTTCAGGAAATACAGTCATCCTCCTCTACAGTCACCTCCATTATAGTCACAACCTCTTTATAAGCACCATTTTTTGAAAAATTATTGACAATTTAATTATTAAAATAACTTTATATAATCACAATATTATATAATCACATCTTTTTTATATAAAACAAACTGCGTGATTATAGAGGAGGACATCTGTAACTACCCCAGTATCGCCACCAAAAAAAGTACGGACACGTGATTTTTTGTGGCACAAACCAATCAGATTTCAAGATCAGGTGTAATGTAACACAATCAGGAAAATTCAAAACAAACATTCGTTTTGTCAAAAATCGCTTATAACTCAAAAATCTGCATAGGAAACCACCTTTTGTGCATTAACAAAAAAATTTCCTTGAACGATTTTACTATTAGAACATTTAATTGTAACCTTAACATAGACCTTAACCATCCTTAAATGAACTTAAAGATTTTTTGGTGTGATCACGTATCTGTACCTTTTTGGTGGCAATACTGGGGAAGATTTCAGAAATCGGTGCCACAAACCTGTTCTGGATTTTTTTATGTGCTACTCCCGTGGTGAAGCCATGGGCTGAAAGCTAGTATTTTGTGATGACTTACTATATTAAATCTATCTATCTATCTATCTATATATATATTTATATAATTTAAGCAAGAAGTTGTGTATTTTAACATTTTTGATTGGTCATTATGAGATATGATATTCAGGTGATTTGATAAATTGGGTTATCACTAGGGATGGGCAATTATATTATACTGTATAATAAAAATGGTATAATAACCGTATAATTGATATAATATAATTAATAAAATGCTGTATAATTGGTATAATATTTTAGTATAACAAAGTTGGCCAATAGAAATTTAGATAAAATTTTTTATAGAAATGAGCAAGTATGTGACAAACCCATATATACTTTCTAAATATTTATTATACAGTTATTATATAGTATAATAACCTGGTTATTATACCACAATTTTAATTATGCTGTTATAGAATGAGCTTTAACATTAGTTTTATTAGTAGTTTTATTATTATTATTATTATTATATTATTATCTTATATTTTTATTATATTATTTTATAGAAAATTTCTTAGTTTACACATAGTGTATATACACGGGTATTAATTTGCAAATCTGTGTAATATGCAAATTAAAATAATTCGTATAAAACAAAAAATTGAGCGCCATTAAAAGTTAGGATAAGGGTGAACTGAGGATGATGGCGGGAGATAGTTTATGCCAAAATTTCGCAAGAAATTTTTTTTATTAATACACGAAAGGTTGTTTTATAAACGAAATTTTGAGTTATAATCGATTTTTTAAAAAAAGCAATAATTTTGCGTTACATCTGATCATGTAATCTGATTGGCTTTCTTATTACCCGTGTATGTACACATAGTGTACAAATAGAAATACTCTATTTTATATTATTATTTTATTATTTTATATTGTTATTTTATTATTTATAATTTTCTTTATTATTTTCGTATATATTTTTTCATAGGGTAGATTCATCTCAATAAGATGGATTGAATGTAGAGATAGGAATTATACAGTATTGTTACAAGTAAACTGTAGTCTTCTTAATACAGTACAAGTAACAAAGCACACAACTACAGGATATGTAGTGGTGTGGAAGTGGAATGTAACTTCACTAGGGCAGTTTGAGGAAGGTATATAGTTAAAGAAAGATATA